GTTAAACAGGTTGATCCATTGCTCGACATTCGTATCACTCCAGCTTCTGTATCTAAAGTGATTTACCGCTTAGACGTTTCCACAGCTTACGGCCCGGACAACATACCTGTTATAGTCTTGCAAAAGTGTTCTCCGGAGCTGTCGTCTATCCTTTCAAAACTATTTAACAAGTGGTTATTAGAGTCTTGTTTTCCAGCCTGCTGGAAAGCAGCATCTGTTATCCCTTTTTTTAAAAATTCTGGAGAGCGATCCGATTCGTCTAACTACCGTCCCATTAGTCTTCTTAAAATCATAAACAAGGTTTTTGAATCTTTAATTAACAAACAATAAATCTCTCATCTCGAATCTCATAACCTACTTTCTGATCATCAATATGGATTTCGATCTTATCGTTCTACGGCTGATTTGTTATCAGTAATAAGCGATAGGTTTTATCGCGCATTAGATAAAGGTGGAGAGGTTAAGGCCATTGCTCTTGACATTACTAAAGCGTTTAATAAAGTTTGGATGCTGGTCTTCTCCATAAGTTTTCTTCTTACGATGTATCTGGAAATATCTTTAAGATTATTGAATCCTTCCTTTCCAATTGTAGTATAAAGTTGTCCTTAATGGACAACACTCCTCTTCTTATTCTGTAACATCAGGGGTTCTCCAAGGTTCAATCCTTGGCCCTATACTCTTTTTAATTTACATTAACAATCTTCCAGATATTCTCACATCTAAGGTGGCATTGTTCGCTGATGATACTAGCGTTTATTCTTGTCACGATAAGAAGCTAACTCCCTCTGATTGCTTGCAGGAGGCATCTGAGTTTTAAAAGGATCCCACTTCTGCTACAGCATGGGGCTCACAGTGGCTGGTGAACTTTAATTTAGATAAGACTCAATTTTTTTCAGCCAATCGTTATCGCAATAATTTAGACCTTCCTATATTTATGAACAGTAATGTACTCGATGAGTCTCCTACCCTTCATCTTCTAGGAATAACTCTTACATCTGATCTTTCTTAGAAACCTTATATCAATTCTGTTGCAAAATTAGCATCTGCTAAAGTTGCTTCTCTTTATCGAGCTCGTCACCTTCTTACTCTGGATTTTATTCTTTATCTATATAAATCTCAAAACCGGCCTTGTATGGAATACTGTTGCCATATCTGGGGCGGATCTTCTAATGATGCTCTTTCTCTTTCAGACAAGGTGCAAAAACGCATTGTAAATATAGTTGGACCTGCTCTTGCAGCCAACCTTCAACCTCTGTCACATCGTCGTAATGTTACTTCTCTTTCTCTTTTCTACAAATACAATAATCGGCACTGCTCTAAAGAGCTAGCGTCACTTGTGCCATCTACTAAAATATATTCTCGTGTTACTCGTCATTCAATTAAGTTTCATCCTTTTTTTGTGACTGTTCCTAAGTGTTCCAAAAACTCTTACTCGTCTAGTTTTTTTTCTCGAACATCAGTTCTTTGGAATTCGCTTCCTTCATCTTGCTTTTCTGATTTATATAATTTGCAATCTTTTAAGTCGTCAGTCAATCGTTATCTTGATCTACAATCTTCATCTTTTCTCTTCCAGTAACTTCCAACACTAATTAGTGGTTGCTTGCAGCCTTGTTGGAAGCAAAGATAGTTAAAAATAAAAAAATAAAATAGAATTCTGAAGAATCTTTAATAGTATCAATAATAAAGGCAAGTCTGTAATTCTACCTCTTTTGTATGTTTCAGGCTTTGTCACCTCACCTAAAGACAAAGCTTGTACAGCTTGTGGCCCGGACAACATACCTATTATAGTCATGCAGAAGTGTTCTCTGGAGCCAAAACTATTTAACAAGTGCTTATCAGAGTCTTGTTTTCCAGCATCTGTTATCCCTATTTTTAAAAATACTGGAGAGCGATCTGATTTGTCTAACTACTGTCCCATTTGTCTTCTTCCTATCATAAGCAAGGTTTTTGAGTCTTTAATTAACAAACACTTAATCTCTCATCTTGAATCTAACAACTTACTTTCTGATCATCAATATGGATTTCGATTTTCTTGTTCTACAGCTGATTTGCTAACAGTAATAACCGAGAAGTTTTATCGCACATTATATATAGGTGTAGAGGTTAAGGCCACCGCTCTTGACATTTCTAAAGCATTTAATAAAGTTTGGCATGCTGGTCTTCTCCATAAACTTTCTTCTTACAGTGTATCTAGAAACATTTTAAAGATTATTGAATTCTTTTTTTCCAATCATAGTATAAAAGTTGTCCTTGATTGGACAGCACTCTGCTTCTTACTCTGTAATATCAGGAGTTCCTCAAGGCTCAATCCTTGACCCTATACTCTTTTTAATATACATTAACGTTCTTTTAGATATTCTCACATCTAAGGCGTCACTGTTCGCTGATGATACTACCATTTATTCTTGTCTTGATAAGAAGCCAACTCTCTCTGATCGCTTGGAGGGGGCATTTGAGTTTGTAAAGGATCTCACTTCTGCTACAGCTCAAAGTGGCTGGTAAACTTTAATTCAAATGAAACTCAATTTTTTTTCAGCTAATTGTTATCGCAATAATTTAGACCTTCCTATATTTATGAACGGTAATGTACTCGATGAGTCATCTACCCTTCATCTTCTAGGATTAACTTTTACTTCCGATCTTTCTTGGTAACCATATATCAAATCCGTTGCAAAATTAGCATCTGCTAAAGTTGCATCTCTTTTTCTAGCTCGATACTTTTTTAATCTGGACCTGATTCTCTATCTCTATAAATCTCAAGTCCAGCCTCCTATGGAATACTGTTGCCATATTTCGGGCAAAACTTCTAATGATGCTTTATCTCTTTTAGTCAAGGTGCAAAAACGCTTTGTAAACATAGTTGAACCTGCAATACTATTACATTTGGAAAGGAAGGATTCAATAATCTTAAAGATTTTTTTAGACACACTGTAAGAAGAAAGCTTATGGAGAAGACTAGCATGCCAAACTTCATCAAAAGTTTTAGAAATGTCAAGAGTGATTGCCTTGCCCCTCCATCTTTATCCATTATAATGGTTTTACTATTGGTTTATACTGTTAGTAAATCAGCTCTAGAACAAGATAATCGAAATCCATATTGATGATCAGAAAGTTATTAGATTCAAGATGAGATGAATGAGAGAATAAGAGAATAAGTGTTTCAAGATGAGAGAATAAGTGTTTGTAAATTAAAGATTCAAAAACCATGCTTATGATAGAAAGAAGACTTACGGAACATTAGTTTGATGAATCAGATTGCTCTCCAAAATTTTTAAAAATAGGGATAACAGATAGCTGCTTTCCAGAGGAAAACAAGACTTTGATAAGCATTTGTTGAATAGTTTTGAAAGTATAGACGACAACTCCGGACAACACTTTTACAAGACTATAACAGGTATGTTGTCCGGGCCACAAGCTGTAGAAGAGTCTAAGCAGGAAATCACTTTAGATACAGAAGCTGGAGCAATATGAATTTCAAGCAATGGATCAACCTGTTTTAATCAAGAATCAAGAGATAAAATTGGTAAAAAGCTTTTACCAAACAATTCATCTTTATCTTTAGGGTTTAGGCGTCAATGTCTGAACCATTTAAATGAGGTGGAATTATAAATTTGTCTTTATTATTGATACTATTACAGATTCTCCAGAAGTCACAGAGCCAATTTTTTGTGATGAAATGCGAGATTTCATGAGTATAGCGGGCTTTAACGTTAGACAAAACTTTTTTACAATGGTTTCTAGCAGTAATAAACAGACATCTGTTTTCTGGTAAATTGTTTTGCTGATAGATAAGGAAGTAACAATTTCGATTGGGAATTGCAGCAGCACAATGTGAGGAAAACCATGGAGAAGAATAAGGTTTAGCCTGCAATTGTCGAGAGGGAATAAATGATTCCATGCCAGCCTGAATCCATGAAGTTATGTTAGAAGCACATTTGTCAACAGGAAGACGAAAGACTTTAACTCAAGGGTCATCATGAAGAAAATAATGGAAAGAGTCCCAGTCAGCTTTAAGGTAGTTGTAAGAGGTACAATGATAGGGGGATTCAAATGATGAAGAAGAATGAGATAATAATTTTAGAGAGATCAAACTGTGATCAGAAGCACCTAAAGGTGAATGTGAATAAACTTAGCACTAAATGGATCCAAAACAAGACATAAGTCAATTAGAGAAGGTAAATGATTCGGATTGTCTGGAAAGCAAGTAGGAAAGTTGACTATTTGAGTTAGCGATTGAGAAAGACAAAAGTTGTGGGCTTAAATACCTTCTAAGTTACTGACACTAGAGCCAAGTGATTCAGTGTGATTAGCATTCAGTATGAGGAGCAAGTCAACGACAACAATAATATTGGCTGATGGAGAAAGAGAGATGGCTTGATCAAAATGATTAGAATTAACATCATGAAGAGTGCAGTCTTGTGATGAAGGAGAACAATATAGAACAAAGAGAAAGGTGATAGAGTAAAGTGGTGCTAAACAAAAGCACATAAAAGAGTAGTCTGTGGATTCAAACTTAATTTTGCAACAAATGGGTGAATTCTTACGAATGTAATTGGCCAATGAATGTAAATGGCCAGGCCAAGCATGCGACTATTGAAGTTTTTATGAATCAAAGGAAGATACTCATCAGCATTAAGATCACAAGATGAGACAGCTAAACTCAAATTAGTCTCACAAAGAGCAAGTTGGTTTGGTGAACTTTGCAAGAGATAAGACTCAACAAAAGAAAAGTTACTTCAAAGACCACAAATATTAGTGAATGATAGGTTTAGAGAACTTAGTGATGACAAAGATTTTTTGTGCTTTAATTTATTACCAATGGTAGTAAGTTAAGACTACAAAGTCTTCATTGGGGGATAACTAATTTGTAAAATATAATAAAACCACAAAGCTCAATTAAAAAGTGATAAAGCTGAAAAATGTTTTTGTGAAAAAGATAAAGAGAGCAGAAAATAAAATTACAAAAAGCCATTTATTTTTTTTATTTTTCTTTAGTTTGCCAGACTAAGTTAGATCTTTCGATTATTGTTGATACCTCAGGAAGTATTGACATTGCAAACTTTGTTAAAGCTCAAAAATTTTTAACAAACCTGGTTGATTTTTTTAATGTTGGACTAGATGAAACAAGAATTGCTTTGATTAGCTATTCTTATCATGTATGTGATTTATTGTTATTCTTTTCTTTTTTGTTTTTTTTGTATGTTATAACTGAAATTTATACATAATTATATGTATATACATATGCATATACAATATGTACATACACATGTGCGCATGTACATACATGTATATACAGTATATATGTATATGCTGTATACACATGTATGTACATTCTTTTTTTTTTTTTTTTGTATGTTATACTGAAGTATATACGTAAAAACATGTATATACATATGTATTTACAGAATATACATAATTTTTAATTTTTTAATTATGGGTTTAGAATTCAAAAACATTAAAAAAAAGCATGTACTATAATTAGAATGATATATTTATTTTTTTTAAATCACTTTTTTTCTTTAATTTTAAAGATATTGTAATTAGAAATAATTACTTTTTATATATATTAAATTAAACAATATATTTAATGTGTTTTCTAGCTCAAAGTTATGACAAGTAAATGGTCAAGCTAATAAAATTAAATTTTTTTTTTTTTTGTTTGTTAATATTGTTTTTTTTTCAGACTTGTATTTAATATTTTTTTTGGTCATATCACTGCCTGTTGCCAAAATAGTTCTTGCAAAGACTTTTTAAATTTTCATTGAGCTATTTGAAAATTTAGAAGAATGTCATTTAAAATTAAGTACCAGTTTCAATAATAATTTTGTTGTTTATCTACATGAAATGCAACTCAATCAGTGATAAAAGTCTTGTTTTTTAATTCAATATTGTTTAATTCTATTTTTAATAAACAAAGTTTATCTAATCTCAATTTTTAAAACCAAAGTTTATCTAATCTCAATTTTTAAAACCAGTCTGATCTGTTTTAAAGCTACTGTTGTGATGAATTTTTATATAAATTATACAAGACTATAAAATAACTTTATTTACTTATACTAGCTGTCCAGACCTGCATAGTATGTCTAATTAGCATCATAAAAAATCAATGAAGAAATTAAGAATGCCAAATATCAATTTGGTTTATATTGACTATTTTATAGCCTGCTACTACATCAGTAAAACAAGATAAAGGAAGCGAATTCCAAAGAACTGATGTTCAAGGAAAAAAACAAGAAGAATAAGAGTTTTTGTAGCACTTAGGAACAGTCACAGAAAAAGGATGAAACATAATTGAATAACGAGTAACACGAAAATAAATTTTAGTAGATGGCACAAGGGATGCTAGCTCTTTAGAGCAGTGCCCATTATTGTATTTGTAGAAAAGAGAAAGAGAAGCAACATTACAACGATGTGATAATGGTTGAAGGTTGGCTGCAATAGCTTGTCCAACTATGCTTACAATGCGCTTTTGCACCTTATCTAAAAGAAACAGGGCATCATTGGAAGATCGGCCCCAGATATGGCAACAGTATTCCATACAAGGCCGGATTTGAGATTTATAGAGATAGATAATAGAATCCGTATCGAAATTGATAAAGAGATGCAACTTTAGCAGATGCTAATTTTCCAATCGATTTGATAAACGGTTTCCAAAATAAATCGGAATTAAAAGTGAATCCTAGAATATGAAGGGTAGATGACTCATCAAGTACTTTACCATTCATAAATATAGGAAGGTCTAAATTATTGCAATAATGATAGGCTGAAATAAATTAAAGTTCACCAGCCACTGTGGGCCCCATGCTGTAGCAGAAGTTAAATCTTTTTCAAGCTCAAATGCACCCTCCAAGCAACCTGAGAGAGTTAGCTTCTTATCTTGACAAGAATAAATGGTAGTATCATCAGTGAACAATGTCACCTTAGATGTGAGAATATCTGGAAGATTGTTAATGTAAATTAAAAAGAGTATAGGACCAAGGATTGAGCCTTGAGGAACCCCTGAAGTTGCAGAATAAGTAGAAGAGAACTGCCAATCGACGACAGCTTTTATACTACAATTGGAAAAGAAGGATCCAATAATCTTAAAGATTGCAAAATACACAGTAAGAAGAAAGTTTATGGAGAAGACTAGCATGCCAAACTTTATCCAAAGCATTAGAAATGTCAAGAGTGATGGCCTTAACCTCTCCACCTTTATCTAATGCACGATAAAACCTATCAGTTATTACTGTTAGCAAATCAGCCGTAGAACAAGAAGATCGAAATCCATATTAATGATCAGAAAGTAAATTATTAGAAACAAGATGAGAGACTTAGTGTTTGTTAATTAAAGTTTTAACAACCTTGCTTACGATTGGAAGAAGACTAATGGGACGGTAGTTAGACGAATCAGATTGCTCTCCAGAATTTTTAAAAAAAGGGATAACAGATGCTGCTTTCCAGCAGGCTGGAAAACAAGACTCTGATAAGCACTTGTTAAAAAATTTTTGAAAGTATAGACAACAGCTCCTGAGAACACTTCTGTAAGACTATAACAGGTATGTTGTCCGAACCTCAAGCTGTAGAAGAGTCTCAGCAGGAAATCACTTTAGATACAAAAGCTGAAGTGACACGGATGTCAAGCAATGGATCAACCTGTTTGACGGCTATATCAGGTAGAATGCAACTAGTGGAATTAAGAGATGATATCGATAAAAAGTTTTTAGGAAACAATTCAGCTTTGTCTTTAGGTGAGTTGACAAAGTCTGAACCATACAAAATAGGTGGAATTACAGACTTGCCCTTATTATTGATACAATTAAAAATTATCCAGAAGTCATGAGAGCTTAATTTTTGTGATGAAATATGAGATTTCATGACCTGAGAAAAACGGTCTTTGGCGTTAGACAAAACCTTTTTACAATGGTTTCTAGCAGTAATAAACAGACGTCTGTTTTCTGGAGAATTGTTTTGCTGATAGATATGGAAGTAATGGTTTTGATTGGTAATTGCAGAAGCACAATATGAGGAAAACTATGGAGAAGAGTGAGGTTTGACCTGGAATTTTTAAGGGGGAATAAAGGATTCCATGCCAGCCTGAACCCATGAAGTTGTGTTAGAAGCACATTTGTCCACAGAAAGACGGAAGACTTCAATCCAAGGGCCATCATGAAGAAAATTACGGTAAGAGTCCCAGTCAGCTTTAAGGTAGTTGTAAGAGGTACAATGATAGGGGGATTCTATCGATAGAGAAGAATGAGATAATAGTTTTAGAGAGGTCAAACAATGATCAGAGGCACCTAAGGGTGAAGGTAGAGAAACTAAGCACTGACTAAGATCAGAAACAAGACATAAGTCAAGTAGAGAAGGTGAATGATTTGGTTTGTCTGGAAAGCAAGTTGGAAAATTGACTATTTGAGTTAGCGATTGAGAAAGGCAAAAGTTGTGGGCTTTAATGTCTGCAGAGTCACTGACACTAGAGCCAAACCATTCAGTGTGATGAACATTCAGTGTGATGAGCAAGTCACTGACAACAATAATATTGGCTGATGAATAAAGAGAGATGGCTCTGTCAATATGATCAGAATTAACATTAAGAAAAGTGAATTCTTGAGATGATGGAGAGCGATATAGAACAAAGAGAAAGGTGATAGAGTGAATTGTTGCTAAACAAAAGCACATAAAAGAGTAGTCTGTGGATTCAAACTTAGTTTTGCGACAAATGGGTGAATTCTTGTGAATGTAAATGTCCAGGCCAAGCATGTGACTATTGTAGTCTTTACGAATTAATGGAAGATAACAAGATAAGACAACTGAATTCAAATGAGTATCATAAAGAAAAATGCAAAATTCACCAGACCTACTTATCGGTCTAGTGAATTTTGCAAGAGATAAGATTTAACAGAAGAAAAGTTACTTCGAATACTATAAATATTAGTGAATGATAGGTTTAGCGAACTTGGCAATGACAGTGGTTTTTTGTGTTTCATAGTTTTCGTTACTTTATTCATTTTTAAATTTTTTAAAGAACTGGACTCGAAACACAGAGTACTCAGTACACTGTTTAATAGCCCAAGCAATTGCCTCATTACTATTAATAAACCCTAAGCTGTAACAAAGGGCTTCAATGTGGCCTTGTCACTGCACACTAAAATTACAAACAGGGACACTATCCATGCGCAACATGGTACTGTTAATACTTATATATTTTTTAGCTGTTGATGGAATCAGTCTTTCTAAGAGCTACCACGGAGTTCGGTAAGCCTGACTACCAGCCGGCTTGTCGTTGAAAGTTTTCTCAGGAAGCCTAATGTAGCAATACCCTTATTTTTTTTTGAGAGTTTTTATTTTGCAAATATCAATAAGGTTTTTTGTAAAGCATTTTCCATTTAGTGAGCATAAGGTGATTTGTTAACAATTGCATGATTGATTGATAGTTTCATGAGAATTGAATAGTATATTTTTATTATGAGAAATAATAATTCTGTGATGATGCTTAGTGGATGATTGAACTTGATCTTAATATATAAAAGATTATCTACTGGTTTTCTACAAGGTTTAAAGTGAAAGTTAACATAAAGTTAAGTTTAAAGTTAAGTTTAACATAACTCAGAAAGGTTAAATGTGATATCAAGAAAGTTTACGGTTTTTAAGTTTACTAGATAGTGATGGTATGATTAAAATTGTGTTTAAACATTAATTTTTTATTTTTTTTCGGATTGAGGACCACTGATATTATAGAAGTAGCAAAGACCATCATCTCCATATAGGCCAGTACCTGGTGGGAAATGAGCGAGCGACTAGCTAGCTTTACAGCGATTCTCTAGCGATTTTTTTTTCCTATTTTATTATTTCCTAATGTTTTTATTATCTTTAGAAATTTGATTTTTAGCGTTGAATCTATTATAATTATGAGGATAATTGAATTTTAAACATTGCGATTTCGTAGCAATGTGTCGCTAGCTACATATTGTAGCTTTGTAGCTAGCTACAAAGTATCTACAAATCTATAGCTGGTTGATAGCTACAAATCAAATTTTTTTTTATACAACGATTTTATTACAATATGACGCTAGCTACAATAGCCAGTGGGTCTTAGCTTATTAAGCTGGTTGTCCTTATAGCCAAATGTCTGTTTTTATCTTTACAAATATCGATAGCTTTTCGCTAACTTAAA